TGAAAGAGCACCATAATCGGCTTCTTCCTTTTCCTTGGTTTTGTGAAGTAAATCTATATCAGTCTTCAGAGAGGAGTGGCTGTCAGTTCCATAGTCTTGATGCCTTCCATTAGGAGGAGCAACCTTGGTGTCCTTCAAGCAAGCTGCATTGCTACTTTCAGGGCCCAGTACTAGTTCTAGAAAACCAAGAGCCTAATTCTTGTTAGCTGAAGCAACATTCAAATCATCTCTTGCTGCAGTACATCCTTTTGGATCCAACTCCCAGATCCTTCAAGTGACTTTCTCCTGTTTCGGGGAGATGATTTATTTTGACTTGGAGATACACTAGGATAACTGCAACTGTATTTTATGTTTCTTGAAGAACTAGGGACCATTTTTTACAGCATTTGGAAATTCATGAAGAGGCAAAGATCTAGGGTTTCCACCAGAAGTTAGCTTAACGTCAGTTTTGGAGCTTTGGTTTGCGGTTTAGAGTTCTACCCATTTGAGGTCTTCCAGGGTTTGCCCTGTGAGTGCTTCCACTTGGGTTAACAGTTCCTGCTCCATATTTAGGCAAGCTGCTGGGTATGCTAGGCTGCAATAGTGCCTTTGGAGAACATCCTGATGATCTCACCTGCATTATAGTTTCATTCAAGTTATAATACTTGCCTGAAAAAGAATTTTTAAGCTCCTCTATTCCAAGATGAACAAGAAAGCAGTATTGGTCTTCCATTCTCTATAAACTACAAAGCAAATTTCAAGAGACTGGAACTAACCCCATCAAAGAAGCCAATTTTTGGTGATGGCATCCTGAGGCCTGAAGGTTTCATGGAAGCTGGTTGAGCAAGTCCAGCAGTTCCAGCTGAAGCTATCTTTACACGTCCACCAAGTGAGGCAATAGCCTGAGCACCATCTTCGGATGTGCTAACCCCTTTGAAAGAACCAGTGCCAATGCTAGTCCTTGCACCACTAGATCTTTGATGGACAGCAGAAACTGGTGATAATGATGAATCTGAAGCACTTACAGAGCTAGCAGAAGACACACTAGATGAGGGAGAACTGGCTGACTTCAGAAGAGCAGAGAGCTGTGAACTTCCTGTCTGAATTTTACCTCTTGATCCAACTTTTGATGGATTTGTGTCAGGAGAACCCAATGAAGAATTATTGCTTGTACCTGAGTTACTTGTCTTTTTCATTGAATTTAGAGGAGATTTAGTAATGCTGCCAGATGAAGCACTGCCACAACTATCAAGTGAGGAACAAGAAGTTGTCAGCTCTGCCTTGGTTGAGACTGAAGAGTAGGAAGAAGACCTTGAATGCAGTGTAGTCCTAGGAATGATGTTTCTTGAACCACCAACAGCAGGAGTTTTCAATGCTGGAGCCCGTACAACTGTTAAATTAAATCAAGTCAATTACAATGAAAATGTGTATGATGAATTCAAAGAAACTATAGTCTGAATTACCATTTCCACTTCTTGCATCCTTTTCTATTTTGACATGCTTGGGCCCAATTGAATCCTTCTTGCTTGATGTTTTTGGGATGGAAGTGACACCACTTTGTACTTTGGGCAGCTTGAGAAGAGATGAAGGTGATTCTCTGGTTCTTGCAACATTCTGTAAGGTAGCACACATGGTCAAAATCATAGATAACTGTTAACGATAACTGGATCTTTCACAATATAAAAGTAAACACTATTTGCCAATTAATTTAGTTGAATGACCCACAATGGGAACATCACTTAGAACTACTGCTAATATTTTCTCTTAATTTAATCTATATTCCAATTAGAAACAGCACAAAATGCAGCCGGTCATTTCTATGCTATGGCAAGATCAATATATCCAGCATATATAAGGAATACATGCCATTGAAAGTTTTAGACTGATAGACACCTGCTTCAATGATTTGCCAGATACTTGCATGCCAACACTATGCTTCGTTGGAGCAGTTTTCAGCTTCATCTGAGATTTCACAATAAGGTCATTAGGGACATGCAACAAATTGACAAATAATGATATTTACAGTACCCATGCATTACTTGAATGTACCTTATTCTGAGAAGCAGGGCCTGCCTTCTTTGAAGCTGAAAATAAAAGGAAAACAGGACAGTGTATGTTTAAGAACTTGGCCTCAAAGCAATATATAGAAAGTTAACTTAAGATGTTAAGCATAAATGCAATTAGTATCATCTTGAAAGAAAAACCAAAATGCTTCAATATCATAGTCTTAAAGGCTTAACCTCAAAAGATAAAAAAAAAGAAAAAAGAAAAAATTCAATTACCATTTGGGACACACAATCACATTCATTTGCCTTCAAACAAAATCTCAAGTGTACCAGCCAACAGGCTTAAAATTCAAGCAAAGACAACTATTTCTTCTGTCCTATGCGGCCATATGGTGAGAAGAATCAGAAGCACACTTACATGAAATGGTTTCAGTTTCAGCAGCTCTGGATTCCATTTTAATGCTTGAATTTGCATTATCAGATGCTTTACTAGATTTCTGTATTGATGCCCTTATATCTCCAAACAAATCAGCTTCAAGACTTTCTAATGTCAAAGCATCACTCTCTAATGGCATCAATGAATCACAAGATCCGTTTTCGTCCTCTTGAATTCCAGGTAATCTATGTTTTTCACATTTCTTAGTGCCACTACCAATCATGCTAGACAACTCCTCTGAATCCAAAACACCTAATCATGGAGAAGCCATGTCATAAACATGCATGTAAATGGCAACAGATAAAAAGAACAATTTAATTCTAACAAGAAATGTAGAATCCTGACTTCTAAAGTTCACAATGTATTGATGAATTCCATACCATCACTTGTAAAGAAAGCACTATCCCAGGCTAAACTTTTTCGCAAATTATATTTTTCACTTTTCCTTCCCTTTCCTGGTTCCGAAGACTCCAATGGTTCCCTAGCATCTCCCACCTTCTCAAGGAAGTCTGCTGATCTTTCAACATTGTTACAAAAGGAATCCTCTGATAACCAGACACTTTTCCGTTCATCCCCCTTCTCTGTACACCACACTAAATCAGATCAGTCAACAAGAACTTTCGCAATGATAATGCAAGAAACGATTGAAGATTAAGCTCAAAACACAGAGCAGCAAAAAAATCATAATTTCTTCTGAGCAAAGTATCCTCAACTGTTGTTCGTGAAAACTATAATATTTTATCTACGGTATACATGCATCCACAATGCATTATAAAATTCCCAAACTGACAATAATTCAAAGAAATATCTAATATCAGGCAAGCATTTCTTGAATAAGGCATGAAATCAAGAAAAACTGCGTTAAAATTCAAGAGAACCTGAGGATTTAGGGTTCATAGGATGAATTATAGGCGAAGTGAAGAGACAATCATCCTCGCAAGAGAAGTCGATGAGACTCAGCCTTCTGACATCCAGATCGTTTTGCTTCTCTGCTTCATCCATTCCGCTGAGATTTCAACAAGACTGAACCGAAACCGAGGCGATTTCCGGTGCTGACACGACGGGGATGAAGAACTGAGCGCAACGAGAATTGTTTTTTGAATTATAAAGAAGCGCTTCGGAAATTTTACTGTTTTTCTAACCCGCTAATTTTTTTTAAGATTAATTAATGGCGTAGGCTTATATATACACAAATACTATATATTATTTTATATAAAATTTTAATTAGTTTTTTTATTTATATTAAAAATAATAGT